AGATCCTGGTCTTTGAGAAACCAAAACTTGCTTTGCTGGTGCAAGGCTGAACCTGATGAAGATGGGTTGTGAGAAAGAACAAGAATGTGGAGGCCTGAGGGAGGCAGAACAGGAAATGTGGGTCTCACCTGGTTGTGGGTGAGAAATAGGCTCCCACAATGCTGGTGTGATGGGCATCCCTCAAGTGCCTGAAAACTACTATTTAGCACACCAGCTCCCGAAATGCACATGAGCTGTTTAACTAGAAGTCTGACCAGGAGACTTTCTCAGTGATGCAACGAGCTACTTTCGCATAAACTCTACAATTACAGGAAGAGAAAGAATAGAAAGCTGATATTAATTATTAAAAATTTACACTAAGAACCAAGGAATTTCCAGAATAAATATAAAGACTTGTTGGAAGTTTAATTATGTGAACTTACTGCCAATTCAATTGTCTTAAAAGTTGTGCTATAAAATATATTGTCCTTTGCTTTTCCAAATCACATTTGAAAGAAATAGTAAGTTTATTAAGAGTGTTTATGGAATTTTCTTCTATTTTCTAACACCAAATATCAGACCTTTAAAAAAATGGGGGATTGGCATTTCGTCCACTGTTCTCTAGGCAACTTGTGGTTCCTTCAAAGAACAAGGCGGGAATCACACAGAAAAGCATTTGAGCATCAGGCTTCTTCAATTTCCTCCAGAAGGCTTGGAAAATAACGTGGAAATGAACAGCAGGACAGAAACCTGGCGGGAGGATCACTGGCTAGAAGGTGAGAACAAACGTGATCTCCAACGTGCTCTGGTAACCACTTGTTTAAATGTACCAAGCAATTGTTCCAGCATATACGCACCTCTATGTTAAAATCTCAACCATTACCAACCACTCAGTGAAGCCTGAAGCAATGGACGGACGGCAGGGGCCCCTGATGGCTCATAGTGGTGTTTTACACCAGGTGCAGGGTGAGCAGTGCCTCTCAGCACCCTCCCTTCCTTCCCCTCAAGGGGGATGGATAGTCTTGTGCTGAGCTTACACCATAGCCAGCTGTCTCTCAGCCCTCTGACTAAAGCAAGATAAAAGCAGGAAAGCTTCCTTGGAAGTCACAGAACCATCCCAAAAGGGAAATGAAGCACCTTTCTCCCCTCCTTTCTGCTGCCTGGAATGTGGACCTGATGGTTGACCCTCAGGCAGCCATTTTGGGTCATTAGGTTGATGGGCTGAAGATAACAGGCAACTAGTTTCTGAACCTGGGGCCATTATACAAACCAGCAATGGGGTACTGATTGCTTGACTTCTTTATGTAAGAGGGAAATACACTTTTAGCATGTTTAAGACACTGCTGTTAACTTGGTAACTGGGGGTTGTATATTGCCATGGTAAGTCCTAATAATAAACTTAAAGATTCACCAAAAACTTTTTACCAAATAGTTAATGATAAAGAGATCTCTTGATTTTTGTTTTAATGCTATGAAATGTAAATCAAGTTTCAACATATGCCAGTAAAACAAGACACTGTGGAGAAAAAGCAAAAGTGATTTTGTAGAACAGAGATCCAAAGCAGCCTCCTCTCCAAGGCACAGGAGGACAGCCCTGACTCTACATGCCAAGGCTGGAGTCACATGGGCTCCCTGTTATCCTTGTCTTGGGTTGTGTTTTGTTTCCAGCTTTGGGAAAAATGTATAAGACTGTTGTCAAATAATTACAGGAGAAGCTTCCATCGTGTAGAATCCCTGTCTCTTACTTTCCTCTGCCTCCTGGAATGTTCTGACACAATTAATCATTCAAGCCTTCTAAACTGAGGAAATGAAGCTCAATCAATCTGCTTTTACACAGAGTTAAGAAATAGACATTAAAATGCATAACTAGGAAATCTCATCTTCCAGAGATCATTGCACAGATGAAATATGAGAATATCTGTGAATCACTCTGTAAACACCAAGTACAATACAAACAATATTAGTACTGATTCTATGTTACATTCATCAAAAAAGGCAAACAGAACACTTTCCTACCAGAAGGAGAAGGTACTTTGCAATTTTCTGTCACTTTAATTCTTCAAAAGTTTCTATAAATTTGATGTCTTTAAGAAAATCAGTGCACATTAGGGACTAATTTTAATTCCTTCATCTCCACCTGTATATCAATAATGATACCATTTCTAGATATTTTATTTAGGAAAACCTTTGCTATATATGAGGCACAGAGCATGACAAATTGCCAATATCACTCAGGATAGTAAACCCATGTTTAATACCCGAACTTGAACACATGAAGATGATGCCTGACATGTCCCACTGACCTTTCAAGCTATTATTTTTCAAACACTTGTTTCTTCTTGGTCCAGAACAGACACATATTTGTTGATGTGAGACTCTTAAGTGAAAAGGTCAACCCATCATTACCACTTTAGAGACTGAAATCTTACCCTCCACATCCATGTGGACATAGCATCCTTACTGATTCCTAACATGAAAAATGAACACTGATGGCATCTCAGGATGCTCCAATGCAGAGGTTCTCTGGTGTAGTGAGGAGGAAAGAGCCATGTGCTTAAAGATGCACTTGCTGCCTGTAACTCACTTGGCAAGACACTGCAATTTGTCTAAGCTAAAGCTTAAAAATGAAAATAGAGACAAAATCCATGGCAAAGGGCATTTGGAAGCTACTTCCATGGACCCACTTCATCCCTTCTCAAGAGCCATGGGCAATACCTTGAGGAAGGCAGCAACATGGTACCCAGCTCATCAAAAAGCTATGCCTTCTAATAATTGACAGTAAAACAAGTGTTATCTGGCTCAACAGATGTCCCTGTGTCTACAGTGTATGTCTCTTTTTTTTATTTTCTCAGTTGGGGACACTTCTTTTTTGAAAATCCCCCTCCCTGCAGTAGAAATTCTTAGTTTCCCAATCACAATGCAGGCTTGATGGGGGGATAACAGAGCTGACAAAATATAAAACAGTATTTATTCCTTGATATATTTTTGGCACATGGACTAAAAGTCTTTGGGTCAGTTGGACATCAAGACCATATCTAATTTACACAATTGTCAACTATCATTTTATTACCAGCTCCTGAAACAGTCACATGGTTACTAAATTTTTTCCGTCCCTTTACCCATGGATTCAATTATTTCTCCCCAGACACAATAGCTTTTAGAAAAGAAGTCTGTTTCACCTTTTGCTTTTAAACTAAACTTGCATGCTTGACCCTGACTTCACTGTAACATTCACAAAAAGCAATCCAAGGGCACCCCAATTTGACATCATCTCTAGATGTATTGAATACACTGCTGAGTTGATTATTCCAGATCATTAAAATATATATGCACATTATCCTGTGGCCCTCTTCAATTTGTGATGTTTTCAATAATCATTACCTCTTTGGATACTTTATTACACATTTACCATTCCTTTATCCAATTAAGTGAAATTAGTATATAAGATTTCAAAAGAACTGCTTTCTCAAAACAATGATATTTAACATCTATGGCCTTTTTTTAATTACGTAATTCTATAAGGCTGTCAAGGACAGAAGTGAAGTTTGTGTGTGGTGATTGCTGCTTCAGAGTCTCTGGTCCTGCCCCATGATCTTGCAGGTGTTTACGCATCCTTGTCAACGTCATCACATCAGTCTATTAGGAGCTGAAATTAAACTACCTGGATGCTAATATTTCTTTTTAAAAACAATAAATTCATTTCCCCTACTAATTCTTTATTATTTCTCATACTGAGATTCACCACTTTTCCTAATATATATATATTTGGTGGGGGGAGGCACAGCTCTGAAAGCCTTCAGACAGCACCAACTCTATAAGAGTAACCAGAGGTGGCCGTGGATAATGTGTGACTTCAGCCACTGAGCACGAACACCTGCTGTCCCTCCAACTGTTCTGCCTCCATTGTTGACAGTCCTGAAGGTCACTGCCTCTTGTAAAATTCTACATTACAGTTCATATATTTTTAAAAGGTTTAAAATTGTGAAAGTCATCTGTTGTTTGTGTAAAATGGGGGGTACTTGCCTTTGCTTATTTCAGGCTAAACTAACTCCAGAAGCACACACACATACACACACACACACACACACACACACACGCAGTTCTGAGTGCCCACAAGGAAAAGTTTGAAAGGCTTTGGGACAGTGGTGGCACTCAAACTTTTGAAATTTTGAGCTCTATGAAAGTATCACTTTTTCATAAATTAAGCATTATTTTTCTAGACCATTAGAATCAGAATCCCCCACAAGGTGCTTACCAGAAATTTTGAAAGAAACTATCTTCCCTAAAATCCAATGATAATTCAAATATCCATGGAAATAAAACAGATCAGTAATATCAAGCAACAATTTCTATACTAAAGCTGATTAGCTTTTAGCCCCAACCAAAAGACATAGAAATAAGACACCTGGAAATAAAGAGATGGAAGAGAGGTATTAAAAAGCAAGAATATAAAAGAAATAATGGCCCTATGGAAACCTGCTCATTTTCTTTGGAATAATTACTTGGTTAAAGTAACTCACCCGTGAGGATCTGGAAAAGCACCAAGAGGAAATCTAGCAGGGAAAAGAAGCAGAAGCAGGCCTCAGTTTTCTCCGAGGCTGATCCTAAATGAAAATAATTTCCTTGGCTTCCAGAATACACAACGTGCATATTCCCCTTAGCAGAAGAGTGAGGAGGAGAGAAAACCAAATGTGTGTGGAAGACATCCTTCACCAAGCCGGTTGGAAATACAGAGTTTTGTTGTTAGGGGCACTGCCGGACAGATATATATAACTGCAGAAACAAACTGTAACTAGTATTTTGAGTGAAAAATGCTTCTAGCTTTAAACCTACTCTAGGAAACATGCTGAGAAATCATGGTAAGTGCTTGAGATGTAGCCTTGCTGTTTAAATTAGATAAAGGAACGCTCCTCCACATGTTCCATTCTGGAAATCAAATGTGTGTAGAAGCCGTCCTTCATCTACCTTGTTGAGAATACAGAGTTTCTGTGGTAAGGGCACTGCCCTACCTATATGTAGAAGGGGAGGCACTCGCTCCAACTTGGTTTTCCAGCACAAACTGCCTTTACAATGAAAACGTCCCTAGGAAACATGCTGAGAAATCAGGGTAAGAGCTTATACATGTATCTTTGTTGTTTAGGTAAGTTGAATGAATGATTCTCCATATGTTTCATTCTGGAAACAATGTGTGTGGAAGCCGTCCTTCACCTACTTTTTGGGAATACAAAGTTTCTATGTTAGGGGCACTGCTGAACCAATAAATATAAGGGGAGGAACTCGATTCAACTCGGTTTTCCAGTGCAAACTGCCTATAATATGCAGCCAGCTCTAGGAAATATTTTGAGAATTCAGGGTAAGTGCTACTTGTACACTTGCTCTTTAGGTTAGCTCAGTAAACGCTTCTCCACATATTCCATTCTGGGAACCAAATGTGATTGGAAGCAGTCCTTCACCTACCTTGCTGGGAACACATAATTTCTGTGTTAGGGGCATTGCCCTACCTACATATATAAGGGGAGACATTCATTCCAACTCGGTTTTCCAGTACAAACAGCCTTTACCATGCAACCAAATGTAGGACACTTGCTGAATACTCAGGGTAAGTGCTTCTAGATCAACCCTTGCTTCTTAGGTTAGCAGAATGAATGCTTCTCCAAGTGGTCCATTCTGGGAACAGAAAGTGTGTGGAAGCCTTCCTTCAACTACCTTGTTGGGATAACATAGTTTCTGTGTAATGAGTACTGCACTACCTATGTATATTAGTGGAGACAATCGCTCCAACTCAGTTTTCCAGTGCAAACTGTGTTATCGTGCAATCAGATCAAGGAAACATGCTCAGAAATCAGGGTAAGTGCTTCTAGATATACCATTGCATTTTAGATTAGCTGAAAGAATGGTGCACCACATGGTCCATTCTGGGAACTGAATGTGTGTGGAAGCCGTCCTTCACCTTCTTGTTAAGAATACAATTTCTGTGTTAGGAGCACTGCACTATCTCTATATATAAGGGGAAGCACTTGATTGAACCTGGTTTTCCATCACAAACTGCCTTCAGCGAGCAACTGACTCTAGGAAACATGCTGAGAAATCAGGATAAGTGCAATTTGTTGTACCATTGCTTTTTAGTTTAGCAGAATGAACACTTCTCCTCATGTTCAATTTTGGGAAATGAATGTGTGTGGAAGCCATCCTTCACCTACTGTTACAGAAATGACAGGCCAGCAAGAAATAACACCACTCAGAGGGTTGGAGTACTCACATTTATTATGCCAGCAGGCTCAAAGTGGCTTTTGTTCTGAAGCACTGAGCACCTTCAAGATGTGCATGAGATTTTATAGGGTTAATTACAAGCTTGGGGTATTTGGCTAATAGGCATGGAACAGCTTTAGCAGCATCATTATCACAAAAGTAGAGGCCAGGAGGCAGCAAACCAACATTTCAAGGCAAGATATGTCTCTGAAAATCCAGCTGGCTAGCAAAAAAACAAAAAACAAAAAACATGAACAGGGAATCTGCCAACCAACAATAATTAACTTAGATTTATGAGTTAGCCCAGCAGAACTAGGATCAGTAATCCGACAACTGTTACACTTAGATTTGTGAGTTAGCTTGTTACCCCAGCCTGGCTTTTCCTTCACACTATCTTGTTGGGAACACACAGTTTCTGTGTTAGGAGCACTGCCCTGCCAATATATATAAGGGGAAGCCCTCACTCTGACTTTGTTTTCCATCACAGTCTTTACCAAGCAACCTGCTATAGGAAACATGCTAATTATTCAGGGTAAAGAGTTTCTAGATGTAACCTTTCCCTTTAGGTTAGCTGAATGAACCCTCCTCCACATGACTCATGTGGGGAACAAAATGTGTGTGGCAGCCATCCTTCACCTACATTGTTGGCTAAACAGAGTTTCATTTTTTTAAACACTCATCACTTTATATTTTTTAACATTTTTTATTGATTTATAATCATTTTACAATATTGTGTCAAATTCCATTGTAGAGCATAATTTTTCAGTTATACATGAACATATACATACTCGTCACATATTATTATCTGTGAGCTACCATAAGAACTTGTATACATTTTTCTATGCTGTACAGTATAATCTTGTTTATTTATTCTACAATTTTGAAATCCCAGTCTATGACTTCTCACCCACCACCCTCTTGGCAACGATGTTTGTATTCTATGCCTATGAGTTTATTTCTGTTTTGTATTTATGCTTTGTTGTTGTTTTTAATTTCATATATGAGCGATCTCATATGGTATATTTCTTTCCCTTTCTGGCTTACTTCACATAGAATCACACTCTCCAGGAGCACCAATGTTGCTGAAAATGGTGTTATGTTGTCGGTTTTAATGGCTGAGTAGCATTCCATTGTATAAATATACCACGTATTTATCCAGTCATCAGTTGATGGACATTTAGGATGTGTCCATATCTTGGATGTTGTAAATAGTGCTGCCGTAAACATTGGGGTGCAGGTGCCATTTTGAAGTAAGGTTCATCCTGGATATATGCCCAGGAGTGGTATTCCTGGGTCATATGGCAAGTCTATTCCTAATCTATTGAGAGATCTCCATACTGTTGGAAACAAAGAGTTTCTGTGTAATGGGCAATGATCTACATATATATGTAAAGGGAGGAACTCTCTCCAATTCGGTTTTCCAGCTCAAACTGCCATTAACATGCAAAAGGCTATAGAAAACATGCTGAGAAATCAGGGTATGTGCAACTAGTTGTGCCCATGTTTTTTGGTTAGCTAATTGAATGTTTTTCACATGTACCATTTTGGGAACTGATTGTGTGTGGAAGCCATCCTTCAACTACCTTGTTGGGGACACAGTTTCTGCTTGAGGGGAACTAGGCTACTTCCATATCTATGGGGAGGCACAAGGGCCAACTAGGTTTTTCAGTGCAAAGTTCCTTTACTTGCAAATCGGCTGTAGGAAACATGCTGATAAATCACTGTATGTGTTTCTACATGAACCCAAGTTCTGTGTGCTAGATTCAGCAATGCCTCTCTACCTGTTCCATTCTCAGGTCTAATGAGTGTGTAAGCCATCCTTCATCTACCTTTTTAGGAACACAGATTTTCTGCTTGAGGGGAACTATGCTTCTCCCATTTCTTTGGGGAGGCACACGCTCCAACTCGGATTTCCAGCACAAAATGCCTTTACTTGCAAACCGGCTGTAGAAAACATGCTGAGATATCAAAACAAGTGTTTCTGATGTACCCAAGTGCAGTATGCTGGATGCAGCAATGCCTCTCTACTTATTCGATTCTCAGATCTAAGTGTGTGTGGAAGCTGCCCTACATCTACTTTGTTGGAAACACAGATTTTATGCTTGATGGGAACGACGCTACTTCCATATCTATGGGGAGGCACTCATTCAACTTGGTTTACCAGCGCAAAGTGTCTTTATTTTTAAACTGGCTGTAGGAAATGAGCTGAGAATACATGATAAGTGTTTCTAGATGTACCCAAGCTCTGTATTCTAGAAGCAGCAAGGCCCCACTACCTGTTCTATTCTCAGATCTGAATGTGTGTGGAATCCTTCAAATACCTTGTTGGGAACACAGAGTTTCTGCTTGAGGGGAACTATGCTACTTCCATATCTATGAGGAGGCACTCGATCCAAGTGGGTTTTCCAGTTCAAACTGCCTTTACTTGCAAATCAGCTCAAGGAAACATGCTGAGAAATCAGTGTTTCTAGATGTACCAAAGAGCTGTATGTTACATACAGCAACGCCTCTCTACTTGCTCCATTCTCAGATCTGAATGCGTGTGGAAGCCTTTCTTCACCTACATTGTTGGGAACCCAGAATTTCTGTTTCAGGGGAACTAGGCTACTTCCATATCTATGGGGAGGCACTCACTTGAACTCGGTTCTCCATCGAAAAGTGCCTTTACTTGCAAACTGGCTCCAGCAAACAGGATGAAAAATCTCAGAAAGTGTTTCTAGAAGTATCCAAGCTCTGCATGCTAGATGCAGCACAGTTTGTTTTCTTATTCCAGTCTCAGATCTCAATTAGTGTGGAAGCTGTTCTTCACCTACCTTCTTGGGAACACAGAGATTCTCCTTGAGGGGATCTATGCTACTTCCATAACTATGGGGTGGCACTAGCTCTAACTCAGTATTCCAGTGCAAAGCACCTTTATTTGTAAACCAGCTTTAGGACATATGCTGAGAAATCACAATAAGTGTTCTTAAGTGTACCAAAGTGCTGTATACTAGATACAGATACACCTCTCTACTTGTTCCATTCTCACATCTGAATGTGTGTAGAAGTATTCCTTCACCTACCTTGTTGGGAACACAGAGTTTCTATTTGAGCAGAATGATGCTACTTTCTTATCTAGGGAGAGGCACTCACTCCAACTCGGTTTTCCAGCACAAAGTGCCTTTTCTTGCAAACCGGGTCTAGGAAACATGCTGAGAATCATAGTAAGTGTTCCTAGGTTTACCCAAGCTCTGTATGCTAGCTGCTGTAATGTCTCTCTACTTGTTCCAATCAAATCTCAATGTGTGTGGAAGCCGTCCTTCACTTAACTTGTTGGGAACACAGAGATTCTGCTTGAGGGGAACTGCGTTGCTTACATATATATGGGTTGGAACCCACTCCAACTTCGTTTTCCAGCGCAAACTGCCTTAACTGGCAAATCATCTCTAGGAAACATGCTGAGAAGTAACAGTAATTCTTTTTAGATGTACCCAAGCGCTGTATGCTAGATGCAGCAACACGTCACTTCTTGTGCCATTCTCAGATCTGAATGTGTGTGGAAGCCATCCTTCACCTACCTTGTTGGGAACACATAGTTTCTGCTTGAAGGGAACTACAATACTTCCATATCTGTGGGGAGGCACAGGAAATAAATCAGTTTTCCAGTGCAAAATGTGTTTACTTGCAAACCGGCCATAGGTATCATGCTGAGAAATAATAGTAAGTGTTTCTAGATGTACCCAACCACTGTATTCTAGATGCAGCAATGTCTCTCTACTTGTTTCAACTTCTTGTCTGAATGTGTGTTGAAGCCGT